AATTGCAGCCGTATGGACGTTAAAATGTTGAATAATAAAAAAATACATAAAGTCACACATGGTAAAGTGAGGAAAAAAAAGGTCAGACATAGGGATGCTGTTCAAACTGGTGCCAAAGTTTTGGCTTTGCTGAGAAGAAAATGGGTAAAGGGACAAGGAAAACGAAAGACGGGCAATATAACAAAGCAAGGATGACAAAAATGTTTACGGGAAGTACTGTATGAAGAAAATTAATGTGGTTAATTTCTCTTCCCGGCCATCTCTTGCTCTTCCCCCTGCTGTCTCGCAGTTTAGCAGTTGGCAGAGTCTCCCTATCTCCTGACAAAGATTATGTTGGCAGGTAGTAGGTAGGTGATTAATCCGCCTGAGTGGGGAAACAACATTAACCTGCCTCTCAGCATTTGCCACCACATCACCTTGCAGAAAATACATTGGTCTAACAGTAAATTACCCATATAAAGATTTTATAAGCTCTGTGGTATTTCCCATATAATTAGTGACTGAATTGAACACAAGATGTTCACCTGGAAAGCTAATAATGACCACATCAGCATTGGCACTTTTTAAAGTTCTCAAATCAAAGCTCCAAACTATTTAATTTGGAACAAATCCAATCAAAGTCATGTCGAAAAAAACCCCAAAATGGTTTGTTTTGAGCCAAATCTAAGGATTAGTGTACAGGAGGATGCTAACACTGAAGGATGACTCATGAGGAAACACAGGCAAGCTTTTTAACATTTTATTTCCTGTTGAACAATTTAGTTAATCTTAAAGAAGAGTTTATGGGAGGAGAAGCTTTAGGGGAAAGATTTCCAACCAGGGTGCTGTGAGACATCATCGGTGGTGCCACACGCAGGGAATTATCCATTGTCATCTAATTTGTCTGACAATAATTTATGAGCTACAAAACAGCTTTGTTCACCTCTTAATGCTAGCTACATATTGTGAGAACATTACAACAGATCATTTACTGTAAAAGCTCATTCATTAAAAGGTAGAAGGTACAATAGACCTGCATCCGCCGGTTGCCATTCATACAGTCGAAGTCATGACTTCAGGCAAGCATATGAGTTGTCGGTTCAATTAAACAGGTTACGATTATGTACACAAAGAGCAAGTCAATTGAATATGAGATCAACACTCGTTCAGTATCTACAACTTGGGTGATATTTTTGTCAGGTGGTGTACTGTGAGATTTTATGTTGTAAAATGGGTGCCATGGATCAATATGAGTTGGGAAACACTGCATTAGGGGACATCAGTAAAAGATGCTCTGGAGATATTGAATATTGATCTTCAAAAGGGAAGATGATGGTACTATGTCACTGTCAACTCGTCATCGCAAACAGTGAGTTATCCCACCTCACACACACTGGTTCAGTGCTTTTAAATGTTCTTTCAAAATGAGAGGATAGCTGTGTTTAGAATACACTATTTTGATGTAAAAAAGAAAAATGTGACCAAATAAACCACAAAAAACATATACCGGTATATATATTGGTGTGTGTGTGTGTGTGTGTGTGTGTGTGTGTGTGTGTGTGTGTGTGTGTGTGTGTGTGTGTGTGTGTGTTTTACTACACGAGAGATGTTTTTGGATGCATCATTTTGCCTTCTACTAGCTGTCTTCTTTTACTGCCCAGCCTTCTGCGGTAGGCTCCATCTGTCTTGCTCCCTGTTTGGTGCAGATGGAGCAACATGACAAGGGCATGGAAGCCAATCCATTCGCACCTTGTCATCTGCAGGCATTTCGATCTGCCGCTATCTCGATTAGGGATGGCCGGCTGGTAGGAGATGAGTAGGTGCTTGTTTGTGTATGTCTGCGTGTTTCTCTAGGATATGCAGGGATGTGGTCTATTGCATTGCTAACCTGTCCTGTGACACCTCCCACTTCTTCCTTAATGTCATAAACCTGTCACGGTATGGATATGAAAAATGTTCCAATTTTAACTCCAGTGTTAGGGTTACGTTTATGTGCATAGAATGCATCTTTGTTTTGAAATTCTTTGTACATATACCTGTACGTCCATATTGTACTGTATATACAGTATTAGGCCTGTCAGCAGATTCAATTTTCTTTTTAATTCCACAATTTCAATTGTTAACTTTGGTTTAATTGCACATGTAACTGTTTTAAATACTGAATGACATTTTTGTTTGAGTTTTCATACTCGTGTTGATTGCCGGTAACATGAATGTGGCCAAATCTCTATATTTGAACCAGAGATGGGCACTTCGCCCTATTGCGCCAGTCCATCCTCTGTCCGCGACATGGGAAACCTTATGTCATTGTCCCTCAGTCCTCGACCTTATAAAGCGCTTCCGTGCCAGTCCACCCCCCAACCTGGAAAAAAAGTGTCCATGCATGACACCATGGAAGAGAGGCATGTTTTGGTTTTCAGCACAAGCTGGATTGGAGGGCGTGGCTCTTCACCGGTGCACCCATTTCTCGTTCCTCATCAAGACTTGACTGGTATTTAAGAACTGTCAAATTTCCAAATCTCTGTCGGGTTATTGACCTTGCTTTCTATTATGTTCAAGAGACATTTTCTAGACTTGACACTCATAGTCGCTCCTTTTCTGATACCTTGTTTTGTATTTTGGTTTTCCAATTATTCTTGTGTGATTTAAGTTTCATGATTTGGGGCCAAAGCCATTTCGTTTTGTGTATTTTTGAGTGTCAAGTTTATCTTGGCGTTTACAAGCGCTTTATGTTCATATTTGGTTTTCCTGGCTTTTTTTTTTTTTAACACCCTGTTTACGGAAGTTACATCCGTCAAAAGTTCAATTTGCACCAAAGGGAACCTGTACAGATTCTTAATTCTTCGTTTGACCAAGCAAGGCCGCAACCTCAGTATCAATCTCTCTCATTGGCTTAATGATGGTGGCTTTGCCCTCATTATCCTTGCACCTCTGACCAGCTATAGCGTCATACTCATTTGTCTTCTCTAGCATCTTTCTCATATGACACTTGAAGTTTATAAGGGACTGTGAGGCCCATTTTGTGTCATGTTGGGGTTGTCTGATTCAAGCAGCATACAATATGTCAAAAACAGCCATTTCGTACGAATTGTCAAGTCTGACGGTGTGCACCCTCCTCGTGCTTTCAAGGGTTTCCTCCATGTATTCCGGTTTCTTTCCACATTCCTCAAACATACAGTTTGACGACTCTGAATTGCCCTTTCAATGAGAAACTTTTAAAACATGTAGTCCGGCAGTGTTTGTGTGCAGTCATGGTGTAGCTCTTCTCTTGCCCTTGGGTGACAATCTGTTTTCACGGCGGCAATTTGTTTTGTTGCATTATAGTGTTTCATATTGTTTTTAATGGTTCTTGCTTTGTCAAGAAGTTTATGCTGAAGAACAGTTAATTTCCATTTATTTTTTGTGGTTCAATTTCACTTTGATATTACAATTGTACTCTGGCTTGCTGCCATTTGATCCTATTCGGTGAAAGATGCGTCTCTAAGTTCGTAGTGGTAGCACAGAGAGATATTGCCTGGTGTTTCATAGTGACAGTTGTGCATGAAGTCTTCGAAGATGTAAACACACTCTTGACATCGTTGACCTTTAGTACTATGCCGGGCCAACAAAGTTAGTGAGCAGTCTATTGAAACAACCTGGCCTTATGGAGAACTAAAAATTGACCAGTGGCTGTCGTATGTGAAGAGATGGATGTGTTGAAGTAGTCTTTTGTGTGGCATTAATTTTACTGTTTCATTAAGAGTCCTTACAATCCCTGCTGCATGTTTTATTCTGCCCAACAAGATAACTTGTCCAAACCTTTTCTGCTCAATACCCAAAATTGGAAACCGACTGCACCCCGGGATATAAATGTCTATAACGCGATCAGATACTGAACATATTCTATCACTAACAGTCTGACAACAGAAATAAAAATATTCAGGACTAATTTTAGTTTGGGGAAGGCTACATCATCTATTCCTAATTACTGATTTATGAATGTGAATTGACAACTCAGCTAGCTCCTAACTTGAGCAAACAGTTTCACATGCGTTATAGGCACCTGGTGCTGATGAGGGTGAATTTTGAAGCTCAGAAAACCAGTTTTGCTTTGTTGTCATAATATCTTGCCTTTAGGGATGACTGACTCATGGTTAACATAACAACGCAGCCTTATTACATGCACAGGGGTATAGCGGAATGAATCTTCACCAACATTTGGCGGAGTCATCATATATTTAATGTGTCTTTTAATTGTCATACTGTCGGCAAAACAATACCACCCACTAGAAATAAACTGAATGATGATTTCCAAACTTTCAAAGGTTTAATTGGTCCACGTTGTGCTGGAAAATGAATCAATTAAGGCAACCTGCTATGATCTCCCGCAAAAATGTAAATTAAGCTTCAGAGTCAGACTAAAATATGCATTAAGGTTAATTAACTCTCTGAACTTTGAACCTATGTACTGCCTCAGAGCCATATTCAGCCACAACAATGTGGTTGCCACAAGGTTATGATCACACAGGGTAGGGCTAGGGTAAAAAAAAATGAAATATTGGAAACGGACTTCAAAGTTTGTCGTGACCTAGACAGAAGTGTTGATTTCCCCAAAGTTGTCTCATCCACAAACTCATGAAACCATACTTGGAGCAGCTTAGGCGAGTGTGTCGCTTGCCGTGCTGAAAGGGCACAGGGGTTTTGGGGAACTTGTCAGTTGAAATCTGTCAAAAGTACTCAGTGGACCTACTGGGGCCTAAGGAGTACAATAACCCAGACCCAGAGGGCTTATCCCGGGAGCTCAGACATTTCACATCGAAATCAACTTTGTGCATCAGAAACCTAACGCCCTGCTTGACACCTAAATCCTATTGTTTGGCTCCAGCAAAGTATACAATACATTTGTATTTGCTGTGCTCTGTTTACCTGACCAGAAATAAGGGGAGGGATTAGAGGATCCTCTTCCTCCCTAGTTGTCTCTTCCCTTTCCTTAACTGAAGGTAATCACGTCATCTGTCATTTCTTTAGATAAGCAAATCATCCCGCAGTCTGCTCCTTTCCTAGTGGCTATATCCAGGCCTTCGTCAAAAGGAAGGGAGGTGCTCCAAGAGACTTCCTCAAAAGTTTCCTAGACTTGTGTGTGTGTGTAACTTTTCCCATGAGTGTTGTAGAGGAGCTGGTGGCTGCTATCAAGAGCTCAAACATGCCAATGAATGTGAGATTTGAAGATAACAAATGTCAGAGTGGTTACAACGGATTATAATCTCGGACACATCTGGGTAGGACAACTCAAGTGACATCTTAAAATGGAATACTGACTTTCTAAGGGTAAATATAATGCTATTTGCAGGTTTTTCAGTCAGCCTGTTAGGGAGACTGTTTTTAACACGGTTAAAGCACAGAACTTGTGTGGCTGTTTTTGTTTAGAAATATTTTTTCACATGACGGAATTTTGTGAACTGCTGCAGACTATGTGCTAACAAGTACACAACTTTGGGTATTAAGTGCGGGAACATGTCGAAAAAAAAAGACTCCACTTCCACCTTTATGAAGTTGAGGAATGTCACTTTGCTGAGTAAACAAGAAACAAGTTCTGTTTTACAGGACACAATGTTTAGTCACAGAAATATTTCCCCGAGTGAAACTGTATCACTTTCTTCCAGGTTTTTAGCTGAAATGCCAGAGCATGTGTTTCCAAATCCTCCTTATTTTTTTTTTAGCGCGACAGGAAAACGGGAAAGGAAAAGGAGGGTAAAGAGATCTTGTACTCAAAGCCTATGACTTGCATTCTATTCTTTAAGCTCTGATAAGCTTCTACAAGCTTATCTGCAATCATTTGTTTGCACAGCCGAATGAGAACTATTTGGCAAATTGCAATCTTGGAATTCCCTAAGTTGTCTTTATGTACATTTCATCAAGGGCAGTCTACTTATGGTAGAAGATGGATGGCCCGGTGCTTGCTGCATTCACAAGAGACACATACTCCCACAATGTGACATTTGAAATCCCAATGAGAACACTTTTTACATACTCATAAAGTGACAATATTTGCGACTCAAAGGTTTCTCTGCTTCTCCATTCGGCAGCATCCAACAACTGTCATCTTCGTTGAGAAGGCATTCTTGAGGGCACTCAATATGTCTTCCAGAGTCCGATTGAAAATCCTGCATGCCTAATTAAATGAATGAATGCAATGCACTTCACCTCACAAAGAAATTCAGAAAATGTAGCATTGAACCTTTGTTGGAATCAGAAAGTGCCGCATGTTTACTTCAGGTTCAGCAATTATCACCATTCCAAAGAGATGTGGGCAAAGTCTTATATTTCAGCTCTTGCGGTGCTTTGATAACACTGACGCCATTGTTTACCAATGAAATGTGTACTTAGAAAACAATACCTTGCTTCTTTTTCTAACGCTCTGCACAAACACTAGTTTAATATGCTTGCTGGACAACACACGGAGTCTTGGGAAAATGAGTAAAGAGCAGACATAAAAGGACTGAACATATGATTCAGTGTCGTGAGATCTCAACATTTAAAAAAAAATAAATGAATAAAATTACACACAGTAACACACTGAGAACTGTGACAGACAAAGGTAAAGAACAAATTGATTTCTGGGAATGAGTGTATGGATGGAAAAAATAATCTTTTGTGTTTTGGTGCTGACTGAGACACCTTGTGATAGTTCTACTTGCATTTGGGCCAAAGGAGGCAGTGACCCTCCCGATCCAGCAGATAGTGAAAATTTGCTTTCTGCATTAGCACCCACCAGCAATGTTGGCACTTCGGTCAAGTAAAAATGCAATAACATGGCCGAGCACGTCAAAAATTTTTGTTTTTTCAGGATTATTCAGGCTTGGTGGCGGCCTGGGCGTTTTATTTGGTGAGCATTCAGATGTAATGAACCCCATGACATACTGTAAATGCATGTGCAGCAAGAAAGGCATTAGGCTCTCTACGTTGTAACTTGTCCAATTTTCCCTCTGTGTATTGATGACTTGAATGATTCATACTGTATATGATATCAATAGAATCATTTAGTTTAGTTTTTGTTCTATAGGCTCCAGTGCTCCACCACAATGAGAGACCGCTTAAAAGAATTACTCGAGAGGACTCAGGAGTTTCCGGATGGGGGAAGTCTGAGTTCCAACCCCCAGTCTGAGGATGAGTTTGACACTGGCAAGTCTGTGGTTGTCGGTGTCATAACACCAGAGGCTGTCCTGTTTGAGGAGGAGCCAGTCATCGACAATTTCCTGTCGGAGGTTCAGCAAATCCGAAATGATATTGTTACACTGGAGACTGAGGTGAGGTTCACTTTGAACAATGGTTCCCAACCTGTATTGAGCCAAGACACACATTTTACATAGACCTCACAGCACACCACCAAACAAGAATGTAAAAACTCAAACAGAAAACTGCCGTATTTTTCGGAGTATAAGTCACAGTTTTTTTCATAGTTTGGCCGGGGGTGCGACTTTTACTCTGGAGCGATTTATGTGTGAAATTATCAACACATGATTATGTCATTTCACATGTTATTTTCACATTGAACCGCAAGAGGGCGCTCTGTGTTGATAAATTGACGATGAGTCTGACGTAAGCGATGTAGAAGAAGAAGCGGCGCATCGTCTACCTCCCGAGTTGGGGGAGTTGTTTAAAAGTGACACCGAGGATGAAGATTTCATTAGATTTAGTGATCTGGAGTGAAACTGATAGTTTGGTAAACTTGTTAGCATGTTCTTTATGCTAGAGTTATCTGAATAACTCTTAATATGTTACGTCGTTACTGACATTACCAGGCATGTCAGTCATGTAACGTTAGTATACTGTACACTTATTCAGATAGATAGATAGATAGATAGATAGATAGATAGACAGACAGACAGACAGACAGACAGACAGATAGATTGCTAGATAGATAGATAGATAGATAGATAGTTAGATAGAGGATCGTTTTTGCCAATTAGGTCTAGTTTTTGAGATATTTCATACTTTTTTTTAGAAAAGTGCAAATTTTTGGACAAATTATGAGAAAGTGGCTAACTTACCTCGGTGCCCCTGATGATGTCACAAGCCGCACAAGGCTCCCACGGCACCCTGATTGGAAATCACTGACTCAGAGAATGTGTCAGATGCTCGCATTGGTTTATTTGTGATATCCAACTACTAGAAAAACTCTCTAATCTCAACCAGGTCCTTAAATTCAGCCAACAGCAGAAGATGTTGGTTGCAACTATGCGGCGTTTTAGTATCATGAAAAAGGAGAGCAGCATAACAAGGGACATCAAGCTTCAAGCTGAGAGCATCCACCGACGTCTGGACAAGCTTTCCAAACAAGTGCAAAAAACAGAAGAGCAGCAGGGTCCTGCTGCTGTTACAACGAGAATACAACGTTCCCAGCATGCAGCCATTTATCTCAAATTCCAGCAGGTTGGTAAATAAAACTTGCTTTGTTTGCTTAAATGGTCATTTGTTTTTGTTTCTCTTTGATTCTTATAAATAATGACATAACATTTTTACTGAGCTGCCAGATCTCAGAACAAATAAGTGATGCATCTTTAGCAAATAAATTATACACCCTTGGGTATATAAAAGGATGGTATAAATCAAAGATGACAAGATCGATTTTCTGAATTGAATAGTCAAGTTGGTACAACCAATATGGGGAATCACTTTAATTTATTCAATCAATTTACTTTATTACTGTTTTTTCTGCCTGCAGGCGCCATAAGAGATTAAGATGTGACCCAAATGTCTTCTTATTCATTTCCGTCTTCCCTTTTCATCCTCTTCCTTTTTTTAAAAATATTTTATGCAGGTAATGCGGCAGTATAATGAAGGACTGTTGACCAAGCAGGAGCGCTGTAAGCACTTCATTATCCGGCAGCTGGAAGTCTCGGGAAGGGATATGACCGAAGCGGAGGTGAACGAGATGGTCGCCACCGGAAAATGGGAAGTCTTCAATGAGAACCTGTTAAATGATGTCAGAATCACTCGGTCCCAACTATCTGAGATTGAACAGCGGCACAAGGTGACTGCATCAAACAACTCACATTTTGGTCTGATTGTCTTTTATTTTGTTTGTTTTTATCACCTATTTTGTGCTCTTTAAAGTTATAATCATATTCAAGTTTCATAGGTTCAAAATTGAAGACTTATTCTAGCTGTGAATTTCTTGTCTGTAAACCAATCCGACAGTGGACGCAAGTAAAAATAGATTCATGGCTTTTGTGAAACTAGGAAATACCACACCAAAACTACAACCTTTTTCCATTTACAGTATTTACATTTTGTATTGAAATAATTTGTCGGAAGTGGAAACTGTTTGCATTCCTAGTGTTGTGGATTGCGGAAGGAATAGTAGTCTCCAAGTCCTTACTAGTTCTGATTGACACACTATCTATGCTCTATGCTATTATCCTTCAGGAGTTGTTGAGCCTTGAAAGCAATATGAATGAGCTGAGGGACCTCTTCATGGACATTTTCATGCTCGTGGAGGAACAGGGGACCCGCATTGAGCACATACAGACCAATGTCGAGAGGACCCAGGATTACGTGGCAGCCTCTAATGAGAAGTTCAAGTTGGCCGCCCGGTACAAAAAAAAGAACCCTCTTCGTCAGATTTGCTGCTGCTGTTGCCCTCCCTGGAAATGCTGCTTTTAAAGTTCTATGAATTGGAATCCGGCATCTTGTATTTAAAGTGGCTCCCTTACCTGTTAGGAGTAAACAACATTGGAATCGAGTGCCATTAAAGTGAAGGTTATGGTACCGCGGTTCTTGCTGTTTGAGCACAGCAACGGCGAAGACAGATTCAGCAGAGCATAGAAAACAATTAAGGGGGAGGCCAGCAATTGATATTTGAGGCACTTATTTCTTTGAAGAGAGTGTGAAGTGACTCCTATTGGAAGAGACAGTTCACTGAGTGCTCTTCACCAACATCGACTGTTTACTGGAGACCTTCACATGTCATCTGAGAGAGGTCACAAACGAGACTTCTACCTGTGCAACTGTCACTGCTTCCTCACAAATTCCATTTGTCATTTTTTTTTTCGTTCCACCAAAAGCACGAGAATCTTTTTTGAAATGCTATATTTCGGCAATGCACTTTCAGCTGATATTTAACATTGCGGTTCATTTATATTTTTTGTTTCAGATTTTGAGAATAGAAAAAAAAGGGAAATGTTTTCAGCATGTATTAACACGGTTAGCATTTATTTCATAGTCTGATCATTTCAGTTCAGTTTTTGCAGTGGAATCGGGCATGAATAGTGTTCTGATTTCAACATTTCACTGTTCAAAATGGTCAAATGTAATTTAAAACATTGCCTGCCAAGTTAAAAAATAATTACAGTGGTGCAGTCTGACCAGCATAGATTAATTCAATTTTGGATTATTTCGTATGGGCATAAAAAAATATATAACATCAACATACATAACATCCCAGAATGAATACTGGTCCAATGTAGATGTCCACTGCAATCATATTTCCGACCAGATGACAAAGAAAGTTTTCGACTAATAATTCTGCTACATATCAATAACTATTGTTCTTTCAAATCTTTTAATGATAACATTGCTCTGGTGACAACACATTTACACTGGATAGTGTGGATTATAAGTACTGTAACTCTATTTTTCCAGCCCGCGACCCTCATGAGGATAAGCGGATCAAATAATGAATGTATGGATGTATTTTTTCATAATTTATTACGGCATACATTTACAATGTGACTTTTAATGATCAGGTAATGGATGGATGGATGGATTTTTTTTTTAACAATGCAATACAGTACTCCACCCATGGCAGATATATTAACCCAGTAAAAGCATATCCAGTGAGAGATGCCCCGCGCCTGGCGTCTCACAGAAGACAGGTGACTTAGGTGCGGCAATACGAGACCGGAAAAACGGGTTTGTCTGCTATTACCACAACCGTGCCTTCAATTCCCACAAGACCACCTGTGTAAATAAAACCGTTAGCTTCCGCTAAAGATGTGTACTTTTTTCATTGAACGTATTGCTGGTAAAAAACAAAACAAATATGAAACAACTTGAACAACAGCAATGTTAAGGCTGACTGGCAGGATTGACATTTAATCAGTCAGTTTGACATTTTCTCCCAGACACTGGCCATTCACATGACATCTAATAAACGCTACCTATCAATATGGTGTTTTATTTAGGGAACATGTTATTTACAAGGATCCCCTGGGTCTAGTAGAGGAGCCAGGTGGGATTTCTGCCAGGTATTTACTGGCATTTCAGAGGCATCAGAAACGTTGTGTTTTTTTTCCTCAGCCTTGCACTGATTGGGGTGACATTTTTAAAGGAGAACATAAATGTCTTTAGCGCGTGCTCTTCAAAATGGAAAGGAAATGACAATATATGACTATGCTGCTCGTCAAGCATACTGTGCTGTATTACCTCACCCCAAAAATAAATAACTAAATACATAATACAGGTTCCAGAGCAGCAACAATGCCATCCAGTGTTCACTGACATAATTGCCAGTTGAATGTCATCATTGACACCAAATGAGAGTGACAAAGTCTGATTTTTTTTTTTTTTTACTTACCCTTGAATGAGATTGAGAATCGTCCACTTTGTAGATTGTAGTTGTATCACTGAATTGTACTTATTTTTTTAAAAATAGTTAATGGCAGGTAAGGACAAGCTTAACAATGGCAGGAAAGAAACCTTTGTGGAACAATTGTTGATACCATCTGAAGGCCATCAGCCAGCTTCATTCACACATTCCCCTAAAGTCTCTCTTGAAAAATGTCCTCCCACCACATGTCATTTTTACAGCCCCCACTTTGCTTCCATTTATTTTTTTCCCTACCTAAAGACCAAGTTGACGTTACTGCATGGTTTTATTAGGCCCATTCCAAAACTGAAAGATAGAAATTGTGTTCATATCACCTCGCACTAGTTTTTTTGCAGTGTGTATGGCAGTTCTAATCTCAATAATTATAGAATGTACAGTGATAGTTCTGGGCTAAGATTTTAGCTTCAGTCTGAGTATAGTCTCTCCGATTCTCCAATATTTATGCTATGATTAAATACCTATTTACTGTGATGGTGGTGTCCCCGCCCCAAAAAAAAAAACATACACTTTAATCTAGAAACTCCTACAACAAAACATGACAACAACAAAGCACAGAGAATAGGATCAAGGTGCAATGAAAATACTTTGTCCAACTAAATAGTGAGGAAAATATTCAATGTAAGAAGTAGTTTTCTGCTTTTAGGTTACCCTCCTCAAAAAGTCCTTCGTTCCAAAAGTATGAACGCACATCTGAAGAAATTTGACAGCTCTAGCATAAACTCGAACATACTGTTCTTTTCTAGCGGTCATCGTTGAAGTGTGAGCTGTGCTTGTGTTATTTGTGTGATATCATCTAACTTTGCTAATGCACCAAAAGCAGGCCGATAGCAAGCTTTTTGCACACAAAACCGATATGACAATTGCCACAGTGTGGATCCGAACCGGGAACTGAATGAGATTTCAGCATTGAAAACGTGACTTATTTTCTTGCTGCATTTATTCAACAGAAAAAAAAGGCAGTATATATACACACACTTCTTGCATTGTATTCATAAGTTCAAAAATGCATCATAGCTGCTCAGGAGCAAGAGATGCGGCCAGTAGAGGGAGCTAATATCCAATTATTAAAAGAGGCATTTGTCAGGCCTTGGCAGACATCATGCCTTATGCAGACATCTGTGGCACACATTGGGACGGAGGTGAGGTGAAAATAATTTGAAATGTGGGAAAATTAATTTGTCTCTGAGGGCTCAGTCACACTTTATGTTAATGGTCAGGAATTGTGGACTGTGATAGGAGATATTGAGCATGCACTTTACATTTCGTGGTAAAATGTGTTAGTCTCCCTTTCTCATTCCATAGACTTATTTTCAAAGGCAAACAAAAAACATGGTCAGTTTTTTTTTTTCTTTGTAAGTCATTCTCTTGACCTTGCGAAATAGCTCACAGGCTATTATGAGCAAATAAGATGATGTTGTCTGAGCTTAGTCGAGTCAGTGCACCACGAAATATGATCTTGACTCCATGTTCTACTTTGCCCTGTCGACAAATAACACAGTAATTGATTAGATGGCTCCCAAAGTTTCATAATGTTATTTACTCGATTGGATAACTGAGAGAGGAAACCGTGTGCGGTCCAGTGCAGATACGGTAAGTGCATTCAGCACAATTCCTGCTATCATAATCAAAAGTGGAAAGTTGTGTGTAGTCTACAAGTCAAATGTAATTGTGCTGTTGACATTAAGATGTATTGCATTGTGTGTGTATCAGATCGTCTGGTCAGGCCAGACAGAGCGAAATGTCTTTAACCAGCACCTCGCATTACACCACAATGATTTTGTCAATGGGTTTGGAACACTCAGTATAATGTAGAACACACACTTCTTAATGTGTACAATTTAGAAGTTATTTAACAAAGAAAGAAAAACTTTTAATTTTGACATTTATTTATGAAGTCAATTTTGCGAAATTTCAAGTACGTTTTTGATATGTGTAGATCAGGGTTGGACAACTTAAATGCTGGAGGTGTCCACAATTTTTCATCAGGTGATGTAAGACAAAAATTCTATTTTAAACATGGACAATATACGTGCAAGCGTTCAAAATACGTGCACTTAATATATTTTAGTTGTGCAATACATTTTCCAACGCATGTTAAAAAGATCTACTATCATAACCCAACAAAAATGGTTTTAAGCAAACACCACAATAAAAACATGCTGTATTACTTTTTTCCAGTGCAAAAAGGCTCTTTTACATAAATATTACCATTCAAGGTCAGCACAAAACTGCTGAACATATTTTCCTGAACAATTTTTCTTGGGATTTTTTTTCCCCATATATCTCCCCATCTTTTGTGGAATAATATATTCAGTGTTCATCAGCATGTTTTTAATAATTTCTTGGGGGGGCGGTGTAAAAAAAAAAAAATAGAAAGTTTTATTTTTGGAAAATAAATCAAGGGGCCACTGAAAGTGCAGTTGCAGGCCACATGCAGCCCCCGAGCCGCCAGTTACCCAACAGTAGTCTGCCCTGAGACCAAAATATTCAATTTCTCCACATTGTGAATAGTTTTGTTTTTTGTGTTGCCATCTCAACATTTTAAGCCTTTTAAATATAACAACTACAATAAATAACACTGACATAGTGCTACTCAAGACGGCGCAATATGCATCAGTAATTACATGTCTGTTGTCATCATATATTGTTTTATTCTTGGAGCTAAATTCTTGAGTTTGCCCTTTCCAATCTTCTCTCTCTTTAGAAACAAAACAGTGTTACATTTTACAGGTAATGTGTAATTCAAAGACTTTATCTATTTTTGCTTTGTCTCTTCTCACCCTCATTTCCCATCACTTCATCAACTTCATTCAATGATCCATTGTCGATACCACTTGTGGTATTGTGGTGAGCTGGAGCCTATCCCAGCTGATGAAAGGTGAAAGGCGTACTCCACCCTGGACTCGTAGCTATTTGCACATACTCACATTCACATCGTCACTTCATGGGAATTTAGGCGACACGAGCAGTGACTCACTTTTCGTAAAGCAAAACTGAGATAACACTTTTACAAAATGACAACACACGTGAAACATGATTTGAAGGAAGCATGTTTGAAACAGACTGCACAAACTCTTTAAATAAAAAATGATTTATAATCTTTATGTTGTGAAGTATGTTTCCGATGAAATATGAGCCACAGCATGGGAACTGAGACTGC